ACGGCTGGCCGCCGCCGCCGCCGCCTCCCGAGCTTCTGCATGCAGGCCGCCCGGTTGCTGTACAGGACGGCCCGGTCGGCGCTGTCCGCGAGGGGCGTGAGGTAGATGGCCTCGCGGCCCCCAGATTCGAGAACCCAACTCTATACACCGACGCTTTCTCTGGCCCTGCATTGAAATTCGCACAAGAAAGCGGATCCTGGTGAAAACGGAATCCTGGTGTATACATGTTTCGCTGCTTACCGGGAAAACGTTGGACAAGTATACACCACACCACCCCGACGTCGTCCTTGACCCTCCAAAAAATCCGGGGATTGAAAGATAGCCCGCCACTGGTAATAGAATGCTCCAGTTTCCAACCCAGATCCCCAGGATCAGTCAGCATCAGATCGGACAAACCGGATCGGATCGGGATGTGCATCGAATCGGCTCGCATCGGCATGGCGTCGCAGTCGAATCGGACCGGCCGCGCCAGGATGCGCAACAGCGCCCTGCAGGCAGCGGGCCATTTCGGATCATCGATAAGAATCGAATCGGATCGAGCTGGCCAGAACTTATCGAGATTGACCCTGGATGCCTGGCGGTATGACTTTTGGCAGCCTGGGCGTGTTTCCTCGATGTCGGCCTGTGGGTCCTGCTTTCGGGCCCAATGGGCCATCAACAATGAATCTAGGGCGGAAAACTGGCCCCAGAGAAGACTATGGTTGATTCTTTTCCGGGGGCGATACGCGGACAGAGCATGCAACCTCGCGTGCACTCCAAACTGGTGCCTGGTCGCTCTGCTCAGCGCGGGGAGCTCAATAACGGAACCTGGTGCGGTGCGAAATAACCCATGGCACGCATCTGGAGGAAGAAAAACAACATAAACATTAACTTTTGGAAATCTGCGCGGATTTCTTCGATCTGGGCTAGAACCCTCTCCCTGGCGCACGGAGCGCGCCAGGGGCGGCGCCAGAGGCGCTCCCGGAGGGGCCCAGCGCGGATCCAAGGAATCCGCGCGGAACGCCCAAAGTTTATGTTCATGGCGTTTTGTCTTTTCCGCACAAGAACCTGGAGCTGTGCGAAGTAGCCCATGACGCGCACCAGCGCCGGAGGGGGAAGGATCTGAGAAAGAAGAGGAGGACGAGGAAGGGGAGCGAGGCAGCGAGTGGGCGACGAGGAGGGAGCCAGGGCGGCAAGGGGCCGTGCGCGATCACCCGGGCAAGCAAAAAGGGGCCCCGGGGACGGGATCGGGGCCTCCCAGGCCGCGCCTTGCACAACCTCGCACTGTCGGACGGGTTGTGGATGGTGTTGCACCCGAGGTACAGCTCAGAGATGATCAGAAATGATGCAAAAAATTATGGCAAATCTACTGACAATGGGTACTCATGGTTTCGTAATAGAGGGAGGGGGGTCTCATTCCGGGGGGGGGTCTCTTCCAGGCCATCTCGGAGGGCCTGGGGGGGTCTGGGGGGACGATGTTTTGGAGGGTTCTCCCACGAGGGGGGGGGGTCTGACATGGCTTGTCTTGGAGGGTCCAGACCCCCTCCCTTTTATTACGAAATCTGGAGTACCGTTGACGCGGCAAGGACAAGAGTGACGACTCCCTGGACGAGGAGGAGGAGGAGGAGGAGGAGGAGGAGGAGGAGGAGGAGGAGAAGGAAGAGGAGGAGGAGGAGGAGGAGGAGGAGGAGGAGGAGGAGGAGAAGGAGGAGGAGGACGTCTGGGGGGCCCCCCTCTGCGCTTCTCTGGCCCATCGACCGGGGGCCTCCCCGGGCGCGCGCCCTCGGCGGGATCCCCCCCCCTCGAAACTCGGGGGCCGCGCCGCGCTCCAAGGCGCGCGCTCGGGGGGGACCGATTCTCGGAGCGCCTCTTGCCCCGGCCTCTCCGGCCCGGGGGAGGACACCGAAATCCATCAGTTCAGTCCTCCTCGCCTCCCCGGTCGCCACGGAGACGCTCACGGGCCGGATCCCTGCACTGACGGGTCTCGGGGTGCGCACTCGCGCACCCTGCCGCACGCGAAGCGCACCCTCCAGCGATGCTGGAGGCCTCCCGATGGTGCCTGTTTTTCGTTTTGGACTCGGGCAGGTTTACTTGCATGGACGGGGGGGGGGGGGCCGCGTCTGAGGCAAGCCGAAAGCGATCCGACGTGCGGAAAGCACGCGCAAGTCTAAAAGGCACTTGCACCCTCGTGTTTGATTGAAGAGGGGCGAGGGGGGAGAGGGGGGGGGGGGGGGGGCGAACGCCATGCAAGTAAGCTTGCCTGGCTCGAAAGAAAAACAGGCTCCTGGGACCTCTCCGGCCTTGCTCTTCTCGCAGCAGCGAGGCGTCCCCGCCGCGGCCCAGGTCAGACGCGGGGTGCACGTGGCCGAATGTGGGCCCGGCAGGCGGCAGAAGTCAGGGGAGGCAGGAGTTGCCACTGGTACCAGCAAGGGGGGTGGGCGCTGCCACCAGCTCGAGAGGGTGGGGCAGCCACACGCCTGGCGGGCGGCAGCGGTGCTCTTGTCCCTGGTGACTGCTGGAGGAGGAGCGCGCAGGGAGGAGGGGGAGGAGGCAGGCCCAGAACGTGAAGCCAGGAGTGCTCAGCGCCGAGGCGGAAGCCTCTGCAGCAGCGGAGCTCGAGATGGGCACCTCCATCAGGAGGCGACTGCTCGGAGGTCTTCGCCGACATATCAAAACGTATGGAACCCCCTTGGGGGCTGTTGCGCAAGCTCAGGCCTCGGATTCAGGGGGATCAAACCGGAGTCAACGGGGACTCAATGGGAACACGCGGGATTAAAACGGATTTTCGTACCGGGCCAAATTTCATGTTGCTCCGATCGTGCTCGAGGACCATATTCCCGAGGAGGAAGAGAAGGAGGAAGAGGAAGAGGAAGAGGAGGAGGAGGAGGAGGAGGAGGAGGAGGAGGAGGAGGGGGAGGAGGAAGAGGAGGAGGGGGAGGAGGAAGAGGAGGAGGAGGAACAGGAGATGGTTGGATGAGGTTGGGGAGCGAACGCGGACAGAGCATGGGCGGCCGCCTCCGAATACGCCTCCCGCGCGTCGTGCACCTTGCCAGCCTTGAACAGCTCGTTGCCCTGGCGTTGGGTCGGGCATGTCCCCCTGCAGGCAGATTCAGGGCGACGATTGAGAAAAAACACGAACAGCATGCTTTCAACACTAAGTAGAAAAACATCGTCCCAAAGTCTGTATTGACTGTGTTTGAATACTCCTCTCCTGTCAAAGGGAACCGCCCGGCTTCACCCTGGCGGCGCCCCCCGGTGAAGAGAAAGGGGGCGCAGCGGCGGCAGGCCCAAGAGCTCCGGGTCGCGCTCCCGCTGCAACGCTGGCCTCCTTTCCGCGCTTCCGCTCGCTCCGAGTCGCGCTCCCGCTGCAGCGCTGGCGTCATGATTTCCAGTGCCATATACGGCTACGATGTCCCAAGATGCCTTCAAGACGGCCCAAGATGCACCCAAGACCGCCTAAGATGGCTTCAAGGTAGCCCAAAACGGCCCAAGAGGCCCCTAAAGAGGCCTCAAGGACAGCCCAAGAGCCCGTCGAGAGGTTCTCCAGGCCATGGCATGCAGTGCAATGCTGTGTGGTGTTCCGCTGTGCCATGCCGTGCCTTCAGCTGCAACGCTGGGATATGCGGTGCTCGACTTCCCAGTGCCGCGCCATGCTACGCCACGCTGCGCTTTGATCTTCAACGCCATGATATGCCATGTTCTGTTATGTGCCGATGTGCGATGCCATGATTTGCGTCGCAGCGCTGTGCGATGCAAATCTTCACTACGCAACGCCACGCCATGCTATGGCATACTACACTCTGCCGTGCTCGTCTACGCTCTGTTATGCCCTGCTCTATAATGCATCGCGCACCCTCTCGGGATCATTGCCCTGCTCACATCCGACTGTGCGAATAGAGAAGAGATCTACGCCATGGTAAGGGATGGGAGGGACGGATAGGACGTCAGATACGACACAAGCGCACCTAGCTTGACACATCCCACCTCGCTCGCCGCCGACCCGCCGACTTTTTGATGGCCACGGGGGCCCGACGGGTGCCGAGAAAGCGAGACAACAAACGCCTCCCCTCCACCGAGGGGGGCACCCTCTTCTCGACTACACGCAAGCTATGAATAAGGACAGGCGATACCAACACCACCAGGGCGAGGAGATGCGAGGAGGCAAGGGGGGTCTCCCTGGTGGTGTGGTCCCCCACTCTCGCTCGAGACATCCCCAGCCTCCAGCTATGGGAGGCATCGTGGACCTCCTCGCTGTAGGTGGGGCCCCCTGGTGGTGTTGGTGTCGCTTCTCGTCCCTCCGACAAAAGGGACCCCTGGGTATACGAGTGACCGTTGGTGCGAGGCCGTCTGGGGCGCCGCGGGGGGACCAACACTCAAGCGCGCAAGACGCCGCTGCCGCATCGCCTTCGGCCATCGGGTGACCCCACGGGGCCCGCACCAAAGGTCCCTCCCGCGAGAGGTCACTCTGACGTGTAGACTTAGGTCGGGCATGTCCCCCGACAGGGGGGTTTTGGAGGACAGTTTTTTAAAAGGAAAGCACGCATTCGAAAATGGTCAGACGTAGTAGAAGGTCCTCCTGTGGAGGGGCGTGCCCCTCCTACTTGTATAAAACAGGGCTAGGATCGGGATAAATCGTTCCAGAGCGTTCCGGAGCGCTCTCAGAGCGTTCCGGAACGCTCTGGAGCGGCCGCGGCGCCCAATACATCCTCCAAACCCGCCGATTTTCAGAGATTTCGAGTTATCCCGATCCGATTTTGTCCCGATCTTCGCGTCGTTTTCTTGTAGTCGACATGCCTTCGCCCCGCGGGCAGCTCGCTGGGAGGGCCGGGCCCCCTCGGAGACACTTTTTTGGCTCGCGGCTCCAAGGCGGATGACAGGGAGCGAGCACAACGTCCGGGGCGCGTGACGATGTAAATCGGCCTCCGAGGCGAATGCACATGCCAAGGACAAAATGCCCCTCACTAAGACGCAAGAGGCGTCGGTAGGAGACCGGCCCAGAGACATCCCGGCAGGCGGGGACGCAGGCGCGGCGACCGGCGGTGGAACGAGGGCCGGGCCCCCTCGGAGACACGCGCCCCCGCAACGCCGGGGCGGAGGCACGGCGATGGAGGTCCGGGGGCCCGCCTCGCCGGCCCCCGCGGTGCCCCTGCGGGGGCAGGAGGAGGCAGGGGAGGAGCAGGAGGAGGAGGAGGAGGAGGAGGAGGAGGAGGAGGAGGAGGAGGGAGGAAGAGCAAGGAGGAGGAGGGAGCACAGGAGGAGGAGGAGGAGGAGCAGCAGCAGGAGGAGCAGGAGGAGGAGGAGGAGGAGCAGCAGGAGGAGCAGGAAGAGGAGGAGGAGCAGCAGCAGGAGCAGGAGGAGGAGGAGGAGCAGGAGCAGCAGGAGGAGGAGGGGGAGGGGGGATGGGGGGGAGAGAGAGAGGGGAGGATGGAGAGGCCTTCCCCCCGCGGCCACGGTTCAGGCGAGGACATCGCGTCTGCCAGCGCGCCAAGGACGACCCGGCCCCAGAAAGCGACGGACCACCGCCGCCCCTTCGCTGCTCGCTCGCGGCGCCACACCTGGGCCCCGCCCCCGGGCCACCCGCCCCTGTGAGGCCGGGGTCGGGGGAGCAGGAGGGAGAGGAGGCACGGCATTGGGCACGGGCTGTGGGCGTGTGCGCACGCACTGTGGATGCCATGGCAGTGGACACCCAACAATCCGATCATGCAGTGGAACATGTGTTTCAATGGTCTGCAACAGGTTCTGCACATGTAAAGATGAAAGCATGTTTTAGACATCTGGCAACTCTTTGGTTGCATGCGTCCTCTCCACTCATTCTCCTCCACTGCGCCCGCATCAACTCCCCCGCGCCGCCGCCCGATCGGCGACAGGCAGAATGGCAGCCTGCCTCGGCCACGTGCGCCGCTCTGGGTCGCTTCAGCGTGGCAGGCCTTCACTGTCAGCTAGGACAGGAGGCGCGGCCCCCAGAGACAAGACGAAGTCAACCACCACCACCAACAACAACAACGCAAACAACGCCAACAACGCCAAACACAACAACAACAACAGCACCACAAACACACAACAACAACAACAACAACAACAACAACAACAACAACAACAACAACAACAACAACAACAAACCGGCGACGCTCGCTGGCGCCCCTATGATCGGAATAATCGGATCCGATTACTCCGATCATGGATCGGATATTACTCCGATCATTGGATGATCGGAATAATCGGATCCGATTACTCCGATCATTGGATGATCGGAATAATCGGATCCGATTACTCCGATCATTGATCGATTACTCCGATCATTGGATGATCGGCGTAATAGGATTCCGATCGTATTGGGCTCCATTTTGGGATCTGTGGGATTCCAATTGGACGATCGGAATAATCGGATCCGATTCTCGATCCCATTGGATGATCCGGGATAATTAAAAT